AGGACAACTGTAACTGAACGCAGGGTGTTCCCTTCTTGGTGAGGGTGAAGCCAGTGAGTACAAACAGAAGACAAAGAGCCCAGAGAGATGTATTACCTGAAACAACTCGGGGCATTCCTGAGCATACTCCATTTAAGCTTATCACCCACATGCTCAGAAAGGAAAGATGGGGGACATGACTGCTTCAGAGTAGGGAATTTAGTGTTACAACAAGTACAGTTAGCTCTAGGTCACCAAAGAGAGCAAGACCGAGTGACTTGGTGAGCGTGGATAGTTCCTCCTGAGTTTCCCCAAAGAGTCTTAGCTAAAACAGAAAGAAAGAACAATGCTGAAGGCTGCATCAGTCTTTTAAAGAGGCTGGAGCAGCCCCCCATATAGAAATTGGACCCTAAATCTGCTTGTTCCGCTCAGCAGCTGGCACAACAAGAGAGCAGTAAAAGCACATTGTGAAATCACCTTGCCATGTGGAATTTCCAATAAAAAGTATCATTTTATTATTATTTGTATCTTGAATGATGAGTGATTTTTATACTAATAAAATTTATAATAAACATGCTCACACATTTTTGAGAGCCAGGTGTTAAACACTTACACCACTAGACCTTTGCAATTTTTCCTCTAGACAGTCCTGCCCTCCATGTGCTCAAAGCAATGCGATTTTGTTGTTGTTCATGTGTGGGTGGGTGCAACATAAGTTTGTCAATTTGTCAGACTTTACATTTACTTATTTATTATTTATTTATGAAGCTAATAGGAGCTTTCAATTTAAGCTTGTTTCTCTTATAAAATCTTATGTCATGGAAAGTTTCTGTTATTCACAAAAGTACAGAAACTAGTATGAATACCTGTTAATCACCTTCAGAAATGACAAATTTTGATAATGCTTATTTTTTTATACCTTTTCTCATACCGGACTACCTTGATGCATAGATCTGACACCATATAATTCTATTTGTAAATACTCGGTATCTATGTCTACAAGATAGGGGTTCTTTTTCAGAAATCCTAACCATTATGACACCTGCAATGTAGCAGAAGTTCCTTAATGTTTATATGAACAATTGTGTATATTAATACATAAGCTATATAGCTGTATTAATGAAACAGAGCATAAACATAATATATAAATAGGCTTTCATATTTTATATTAATTACCACATTTTTATTTATGGTAGAGAAAAGTTCCGATATTCTTTAAAATGAAGACACCTACAGTTTTTGCTTTATGAAATTGAAGGCTGAGGCAGGCAAACTATTTCTCCTTCCCTTCACATTATCCTTTGAACCTAGCTGAAAAGGCGTCTCATTCCTGCCTCAAGGGTTTGTGAAACACGGAATTAACTCATGAGCCAGGCGTGGTGGCTCATGTCTGTAATCCCAGCACCCGGGAGGCTGAGGCAGGAGGATGGCTGTGAGTTCGAGACCAGCCTGAGCTACAAAGTGAGCTCAAGGCCAGCCTGAACTGCATAGCCAGACCCTGTATCAAAAGGAATTAACTCATGAGAGAAAAGAGGAGCCCCAATATAGTGATAAGATCTGGAGCATTATTATAAATAGGTCCTTACGATAGAAATAAAACAAAATAAATGCGTTTCAGTGAGTAAACTGCCGCGATGCTCGGGAGAGTGCACTTTGCAGTGGGCAGGTGTGCACTGCAGTTGCTTCCCCTGTCTGAGACCAGAGGTTTCGTGAGTAAAATGGGAACAATAACGTGGCTATGAAGACTGAGGCGGAATTCTTCAAATGCTTCTCATGTGTGAGCATGTGTGCTAAGCGCTCCGCAAGGCGACCTCCCGCAGCGGCTGCTGCTCTTCCTCCTGCCCCTAGCAACCGCCCGTGGCATCGCACTGGATTAGGTCCCGCAGGCCTTGTCCGATTCTCTCGCCCCAGTGCTTAGCAGCGATCAGCAGGGAGCACCTACTCAATACGCGCTCTCTGTACTCGCCAGAGTCGCTCACTGACATGACTTCAGGTTACTCCTACAGAAGCTTTCAATCCATGTGTCTCTAGGAAACAGCGTATTTGAGACGTGTATCTAAATACCGAGCAAGGGTATTTGGTTTGTAGTGTAACGTAGGTACATATCTATTGATAGTGTATATCCATATGGGATATATAGCTTTTATGGTGACTTTCTGTCAATGTTAAGAGCTCCCAAAGTTTTAATTTTTTTTTTTTTAAGACAGAGTCTCACTCTGTAGCCCAAGCCGGCTTTGACCTTGTGATCCTCCTACCTTAATCCAAGTGCTGGGACTATGGGTGTGTGTCACCACACTTGCTTGAGTCATTAGTTTTGTAGCATTAGAGGACCAAATTATTCTTCTAAGAAATAGAGATAGTCTTTGCAGGCCTATGCAGTCTATTTTTCTGGCCACAAAATCTTTTTTTTTCTGGGTGTGGGAGGCTCGTCAAAGCACGGTGAAGAAGTAAAGGAGATCCAGGCTACTGTCTGAGCACCGTCCTCTGGGTGTCTGGCACATTGCCAAGGAAGGTGAAGGGCTGCTGAGTCTGAGCTGGTGTCAGGGTGGTAGCCCTAGGCTCCCTGGAAAAGCCCCTGGAAGTTCCTTAACACGTGAAGGATGTAACCTTGGAGTGCACCCCGTATGGTACCCTTAAAAAAGTCGAAGTTCAAAGACCTTTTCTAACATCATCAGGTAACAAAAAACCAAAAACCAAAAAAACCTTTACTATGGAAAGTTTCAAACATACAGCAAAGTACATGGTGCTGTAATAAATCCGCATGCTTGGCTTCAGTAATGATCATTACGGCCAATCTTGGTTTGGGCGTAGCAGGGATAAGAGGGCTTTTCTGTGTGTTATGAAACAGCCAGTATTTGAGTCACTGAGAGCCAGACAAGCTCTGCTGGAGTTACTGAGTTCTGCTACTGCAGTGGGGAAGATGCCGGAGTTCACACATAAATGACTATGACCGGGTCCCAGTGAAACAGTATTTGCAAACACACATGTTGGGCCAGATTTGACTTCTGGGCCATAATTTGCCCACCCTGAGCTAGAGCTTTGCTTACTTTCTCTCAGCCTGAATTATTCTGAAATAAACCCAAAGTGCATTATTTCATCCATAAATATTTCAGTATCTTTAAAAGATAAAAATCCTTTTGTAATACAATCATGAGTCTATTAGAATACCTAGTTTTCCTTAATATCATCAGACTCCATCAATGAGCCAGGTGCAGAGCCACATGCCTGTAATCCCAGCTATTTGGGAGACCGAGGCAGGGTGATCGCAAGTTCAGGTCCAATTTGGACAATTTAGTAAGATGTTTCAAAATTTAAAAGTTTTTGAAAGGGCTAGAAATGCAGTTCAGTGTGAAGCCCTCGGTTCAGTCCCCAGAACTGAAAAAAAAAAAAAAAAAAAATCCAGCTAATGTTCAAAATTTCTTCATTGCTTCATGTTTATTTTTTAATAGTTTGTTGGAATGAGGAGATAATTGGATCATATGTCTTTTAATTTTCTTTTAGCTACATTGTCCCTGCCCCACCTCTGATTTTTAAGAAATTGGGCCATACAATTGGGTAGAATTTCATTGTTTAGAATTTGCTGATTGCATCCTGGAAAGTCATTTAATTTTCATAATTTTTGTGGTACTGGGCATTTATTAGTACTTTTATCCAAATTCTATATACTGGCTTGCAGAAAAATGAGTAATTACTGGAGGAAGATGGTCATTTTCCCTGTGTTTTATATTTTGTTCTGTCCTTATCATCTTTCTATCTACTAGTGCAATGTGTGCTTTTTTGCAGAAATTGACAGTACAGAAACATATGAGATAAAAATCTCCCGAAGAACTACCCTGAAAAGCTAGCCCCTGGGCTGGGGGTGTGGCACAGTGGTAAAACTCTCGCCTAGTATAAAGCTGGGCTCAATCCCCAGCATTATAAAAACAAACAAACAAACAAACAAACAAGCAAGAAACATTATGGTAAAAGATGATGCCAGATACCAGTTTGGGAAAGAACTGAATCAGGCTACGGATACACCAACATTTTTGCACTCACCATGCCACGGTGAATTTTTCAAAAGATCATTATAGTCTTGGACCACAAGAGGTCATCATAACATTATAGCAGGCAAGTTTTCGTAAGACTTATCTATCCCGCAAAGTTTTAATTTGAGAAGCGTGAGATCAGAGTTTCACAAGTGGCTTTCAGTTGTTTGTCTTAAGGGACTTTTTAGACATCTCACTCAGTGTCAGAGAATTCTGCTACCCCTGCCTCCGTCCCTCCACCTTGATCTTTATCATAAATACCAAGCTCTTTTCTTCTCTTGAAGAGCACAGGAATTTTTATCCTTTCCGTTATTTCATAACCCGGTTTCTTTTACTCTTCATATTCACAGCAATTTAATCTTGTTCTAAAGAACTCTGAGAGAAGCTCTGGGGTTGGGGAAGATGCTTCTGTGGATTATAGGTTTGGAAAATGTGATCAGTAGTATATCCCATCTTGCCAGTCAATGTGTATATTAACTTGGTAAAGACTCCAAGCAATCCTTCAGTAATTAAAACTGCTTTACTCTAAAAGCAGGCATGGTAGTACATGCCAGTAATCTCACGGCACATGAGGCCGAGGCAGGAAGATTCCGACTTTGAGGCCAGCCTAGGCAAATTATTTAGGGAGTTCCAGGCCAACTTGGACTATGGCGAGAGACCTTGTCTAAAAAAACACAAGATAAAACCAAAAAACCAAACCAACCAACCAACCAAAAAATCTGCTTAAGTCTGGCCCAACATTTCCCAGACAGTTGTTCCTTTTGTTTAGGTAGCGAGCACCTTTGAAAACCTGAAGGAGGAGCATCGTTTTGAACATTGTTTTGACAATAACATTAGTCATTTCAAAAGTGTAATAAGATGCATACCATTTTATAACATATTTCTTTTCATGTGAAAAGATTATAATTTTAAATTGATATGTATTTTGAAACGTAGTAGCCTAAGAAATGCTTTCTCCTCCCCACCCCCAAATATTTCCCACTTTTAAGTTTTTTTCTATTTTGATGGCAGCGATCCCAGAACCTGTCTTGTTACGGCAGGCACTTGTGTGGTAATTACATGAACTAATGATGGGGAATTCACCAGTGGGAATAATAAATGGCAACATTATTTTGAGAATATTGTTTCTAAGAGAAAATATGAACTAAGAAAAATGAGTTATTATAAGAAGAAAGGTCATTATTTTACATTGTAAGGCTAGAAAAATGTCACAGAAGAAAGATTTGTAACCAGGAAAGGGTTGTTACTAACAAGTCTTACAATCAGAGCACAGGCAAGGCCTCCCGAGGTCATTTGATGTAATGTCATACCAGCAGCAGAAGTGGGAAGACATGCATGGCCTTTTGAGGCCTTTCATTAAATTTTCAGATATTTCCAAGTATCAGAAATAGCTGTTTCCTAGCAAAGCAAAACATGTTCTTATAGAACTGTATAGAACTGTAATTATTTTTATGCATGATATAGGGTTTGTTTTTAAAAATATCTGATCAGGCAAATTCTAATATCACAAAGTGATTTTTCAATTTTCTGGAAAAGAAAATTTTTATATGAATGTGCTAACGACCACATAGACTAGAATTATAGAATATATCAGAAATGGCGGAGAATTTAGGAGCATAAAAATTGCCCCTCTTACCTTAAAAGAAAGAGAAACCCAGCTCCACAATGTTAAAGAATTTTTTTAAAACAGACATCACAAATTGATAGTGACAGGATTGGGGATAACACAAAGATGTTGTGATTCCAAGTTTATGACTCCTTTCACCACATTAAAAGTACTTTATAAACTATGTGTAATTTTATATAACGTAAGAATCTCAGTTGACCTTAAGAGATGTACTTAACTGTGCAAGGTTATTTTTCTGAGGGGAAAACCAGTACTTACATATTTAGGCCACGAGATGGCAGGCTACTGCCTAACACACGTAGAGCGATAGAGCAACTGGGTCATAGAAGCGTGGTGAGTGGGTTATAGAGATTTGGGTGAGATTTACCTGTGAAGGATATGGTCTTTTTCCTAGTCTGCTTTACTTTAAGAAATAATGAAAGGCAGTTCTGATGGCTCTTGAACCCGAAGATCTTTTTGCTTTGATGCTCTTACCGCATCTGTGTGGTAAAAAATATGGGCATCTGAAATGAACAGACGCTTCTCAGGTAACAATATACAAATGGACAATAAACACATGCAAAAAGGCTCAGCAGCGCTGGCCAATTGAAAGATGCAAATTAAAACGACACTGAGATTCCACTTCACTCCAGAAAGAATGATTCCATCAAGAAATCAATCAATAACAAATGCTTGTCAGGCTGTGGGGAGAAAGGAATCTTTCTCTGTTGTTGGGGGGACTGTAAGCTGACACAACCACTGTGGAAATCAGTATGGAAAGTCCTCAAAAAACTAAAATAGGAATTCCATTTGAACGAGCTTCTAGACACTTTTCTAGGTGTCTTCTCCAAAAACTTAAAGACATCATACCCCAGTGATGTATGCATACCCATGTTTATAGCACAATTCATAATCGCTAAATAGCTAACTCTTGGAAACTGGCTATATGTCCATCAAAAGATAAGATGAGGGTTGAAGAAAAATGTGGTATTTATACACAACGGAGTAATATTCTGCCATTAAAAAAAGATAAAATTGAGTCACCTGTAGGAAAATGGATACAGGTTGAGATCATGATTTTCAATGAGGTAAATTAGAAACACAAGCTTAACTATCTTCTAGTTTCTCTTATATGAAAAGCTTAATATATAAATAATACAAAATAAAAAAGAAAGGAAAAAAGAGAGAAAATTAGTAAAATCCAGTGCAGATAATATATCTAAAAGTGTGCCTTAACTTGGTATAACTGTCTTAAGTGTTTTATGTTTTTTCACCCTTCAGTCCGGTTTTTAATCTGTGTATAGTAAGTCCTCAACTTAGGAATGTTTGAGGTGGGACTTTTCACAGATAGGAACAGTCCTCACCTTCACAGATGCAAACACATCGCAGAAGTAGCTCGCGTGTCTGCCAGACATTGTCATGGTTGTGCTGCTGTGTGCTTGCTGTGCAGTACGACAGTGTACAGCGGTGCAGAGCTCAGTCAGAGCCCAGGGTGGCCGCAAGCAGGAGGAGAAGCAGTGGTGATGTGGAGGGGATGGCTAGGAAGCGCAAAGCCATATACGCTGCATGTTTGTGTCAAGGGTGTGTAAGACCCTCTTTGTCAGACTTACAAATGAATCTAACTTAGGAATGCTCTCCTAGAGTGGAACTCCTTTTTAAGTCAGGGACTTACTGTATATGATAATGAACTTTATAAGGATTTATAAATGAATGAATCTGATGCAGGGAAAATAGAAAGGAAGGACAGGAAAGGGGGGAAAAAGAATTGAAATGTGTACTTACATGTACCAGTTCCCTGCAGTGAATGAAATCACTATGTACTGCAAACATGCGCTAATAAAAGTAAAAAAAACTTTAAAAAGAAATTTTGTTAAACAAAAATAAATGAGCAAGTACTTAATGAAAAGAATGGAGACTGACTACACAGTGGATTTCAACACCAGGAACGATTCAGTGTAGAAGACTCTTCTGAGTGCCATGCAAAGGCAGAAATGACAAAGGAGAAATGGAAAAAAACCTACGTGTTAAAAATTATCAGAAGGTAACTGGTGAAACCCGTATTTTTCCATAGACTGGATCATCTGGTAGGAATGATCTGGGAATAGAACTGTGGGTAGGTCTGAATGAGTCAGAGAATGAATATCTCTGATTTATAAAGAACAAATTTAAACAGGAAAAAACCAACCAAAAGGGGTGGCGGATTTATCTCAGTGGCACAACTCCTGCCTGGCAAGTGCAAGGTCATGAGTTTGATTCCTGCTACCGAGGGGGCGAGGGGGCGAGGAGGCGAGGGGGCAAGGGGGGGACCAAAAAATAAAAGAACTGACCAAAGACAGATGACTGCACCGAGGTGGAGAGGGTGAACAATGCTCATCTTCTACTCTAAAAACAAAGGACGCAGGAGAAGCAATTCTTAAACAGAAGCACGAATGGCCAAAACCTTTCTAATAATCAAGGAAATATACATTCCATCCACCTTTTTTTTATTGAATTCTTCCCAAATATGAGAATTTGGTATTACACTCTGGGTTACCTAGGAAGTAGCACTGTCCTGTTTATTTTTACCTTTAATTTTCGTGTTAGTTCAGGATTTCAGTTAGCCAGGGCCCCTGGGATCAATGCTGTGGAAAGGAGCAGAAGGATGTAAGACTGGCAGAAGGAGCTTTGGTGCAGACTCAAATAAGGCCTCAGTCTACCCACAGGGAGGTCTGGGACCAAGATGGCCTTCAGAATTGTCCCAGAATAATCACAGAAAAAGTCAAGCCTTTATGCTTTCTGTTTGTGGCCATTGTAGTGCTGGAAGGAGGGGTGGCCTTGGCGAGGCGATTGTCTTCAGCTGGGCATCTGCAAAGAGGGGTGAGGCAGGGGCTTATAAAGAAGGGATGAGGGGCCGGGGATGTAGCTCAGTGGCGCAGGGCCTGCCTGGGAAGCATGAGGTCATGAGTTCAATTCCTGGTACCAAAAAAGAAAAAAGAAAGGGAGGGTGGGACTAGCATTCTCTGGGAGCAGGTGAGAGAGAGCAATGTCTGTAGAGGATTGAAAATGAATGCTATGTTGTCTAAAAATGCATCTGCTTACTATCAACAATTCTAAGCAGTGCTACTGATCAACTACTCTATTCAGCCAGCACACACCTACAGTTCTAGCTACTTGGGAGGTGGAGATAGGAGACTACCAACCTCAAGCCCAGCTTGGAAAACTTAGCAAGACTCTCTGAAATAAAAAGGGGTAGGAATGTAGGTCGGGGTAGAGTATTCCTAAGTTCTAGGCAGGAGCTGTGTGGCTGAGCATATCCCTGGCCCAGTACTCCTAAGTTCTATCCAAAGCAATGCAATAAGAAAAGACAAAAAACAAATTCCTCCTCCAAATCTTTTGTTAATCTAAGGTTGAAATAATAGGGGTTAATGTGAATTGTAATAGTAACTCCTTAAACTACAAATTTACATGCTTTTATTACTTATTTGTGATTGTTTTGGTTGCTTTCCTTTCCTTGCTGGAACAAAATACCTGACGCCCAAAATGAAGTAAGGAAAGGTTTATTTCGCTTACAGTTTGTGGAGGTTTCAGTCCATACTTGGCTGGCTACAAGGCAGAGTGGCACATGGCAAGGGGCTACAAATAGCTCATGGCAGTGAACACAGCAAAAGCACCAAGCACAAAAGGGAGGAATGGCAGCAAGCAGCCTCTTCCTCTCCCTTGCATATGCAAACTATCCCCCTGCCCAGGGCTGGCGTAGCTCTCACACCCGTAATCAGTCAAACTCTAAAAGCCTTCCCCATGACTGCATGAGGCTTTGGGGGGACACCCAGACACAAACCATAGCAGTGATATTGTGATATAATGAGAAATACAGAAATATGTTGGTCTCTGTCCCCAGCTCATAAATAGAGTTCCTAAAACCCTTGTAGACAGGAACACTGAGGAGAACCTTTTGTCCCAATATTTGATTTTGCACTTTAGTTACTGACAGAGGGCTTCTAACTTCCTTAGCATTTCCTGGGTGATAGGAGCATCTTTTTTTTTCCTAGTGAAGTACTCTCATGGGTCCTGGACAGCCTCAGGGTTGGGGGTTGATTGTCAGGGGAACCAAGCAGGTGATTACAAGATAGGGACTTTTAGCCCCTGCCAGGTCAGGCAGGAGGAAGGTTCCGAAGGTGGAGTTGATAATCAGTGACTAATGATTTAATCAACCTTGCTTACTTAATCAAGCCTCCACAAGAATCCAAGAAAATAGGGTGAAGAGAGTTTCTGACTGCTGAACACACAGAGATGCTTGGACTGGACGGCAGCATGTCTGAAGAGGATACGTGAACTCCATCACCCTTCTACCATGTACCTCTTCATTTGACCGTTCTCCTGGGCCCTGTGTAATATCTTTTCTGACACATGGGTTAACACAAGTATTTGTGGATTCTGTGAGCCTGTCCTAGCAAATTAAATCTGAGGAACGGGTCATAGGAACCCTGACTTACAGTTGGTCAGAAGGGCAGGTCACAATCTGGGAATTGCAAGTGACATCTGAAGTGGAGTTGAACCCTTCACCTGGGGGATCAGACACTACCATCTCCAGGTAGACCAGGTTGTGAGTAGATTGAATCACAGGACACCCAGGTGGTATCATTATTTGGATGATCTGAAATACCCTCCACAAGTCTCATGTGTTCAGAGGCGCGTCTTTGGGAAGCTGGCTGGATGGAGAAGGCTCTGACTTGATCAGTGGGTTAGTCTATTAATGAGATCATAATGTTGGGGCATTATTGGGAGGTGGGGGACACTTGGGACGTGGGGTGAGCTGTGAGGGGGCAGCCTTGGGGCCTGTATCCTGTCCCTGGCCCCTTCCTCTCTGGCTCTTCACTCTCCACTTCCTCTCTGCCGTGAAGTGAGTAGTGCTCCTCCTCCCTGCGCCTCACCAGGGTGTTTCTGCTTTACCACAGGCTTAAACGCAATGGAGCAAGACAGCCGTGGACTGAAATCTCTCAAACCAAGAGCCAAAATAAATGTTTTCTTCTTTAAGCTGTTTTTCTCAAGTATTTTATTCCAGTGACAAAAATATTAACACAATGTCTTGCCAGAATTTCTTGCTGTGTGAGGAGAAATCTATACACATCTTGGTGACCTGAGGAGAAGTGTCCTGTGTCGAGTGCTGTAGTAAATTTAGTTTGTCTTGTCTCCAACATCATCTCCTAAAAAACACATTATATTTAACGTGGAAATGAGTTTGGAGAATTCCTTAAAAACTTCTGGCCCTTGAAAACACTCCACAAACTGTTTCTGCCTCACGGTAGACATTTAGTCGGTCAGTGTCTATTCTGAATCTGTCTCTAAATACAGGAAAAGGTGGGGCCATACAAGCAGGAGGTATGAAGGATCTGAAGCAAATTTCAACTACTTATGAGCAGTATGGCTAGAAATTCACAGTGCTCCTTTTTGTAAAACTATTTGTAGACATTCTTGACTGGAGAGATATTTGAAAACTGCTAGAGTTAATTTCAAGG